TGACCTCCATTTAATAAACAATTTATTTGCCATACTCTGTTAATTTGAAGTTTAAAGTTTAAATCATTTATGTTAAACTTAAATTATTTAAAAACTTAAAAAGACTTAAATTTAGTCATTTAAGACATTTTAGGTCATAAGTTTACATACATTGACCGTTGCATTTAGTATAGGCCTATTCTGGTCTAAATAAGCTTTTTGCATCTTAGGTGTTTACACACACAAATTAAGCAGTTTATACGTACATTTAATTTTACTTTGAAATTACTTTTGATGCAATAAATAATCCTAAATAGTTGAAAGTGTTAACATATTCTTGAAATGTAGTTATTTTATAACTATGAAATGTATTACTAAACAAAGTGAATCATTATGAATTTGCCAAGAAATAATCCACTTTACCACCGTAAAGCAATGCCCCACACTCACTAGAACGGAAGAACCTGGACTGTATGATATGTTCTGTATGTAAAATAGAGAAAATAAGCAAGATGCGCAGTCTCATGCAGCCTTAGTGAAATATAGCGCGTCACAGCAATGAACTAAAAATAAAACCACCCTTGAAATGCTGGCGATCTTAATTTTTTCAGCTTACACTGACTGAGAATAATGTTGCACTATTTTATTAACAAATAATTAGAATGTTTTTTTCCCTTCAACACATTCATCATTACTTTTGCCTGTGCAAGTTTTTTTGCGCGCGCTTGAGCGCGAAGGCATCTATTTTCAGGTGCAAGATGCCACTTTGGGTGGCACCAGCACACTCTGCCACACCTGTGGCTATGTCCCTGCTACAATAATAATAACAACAACAACGACAAAATAATAACAAAAAAAAAAAAAATAAGACAGGCCTACTTTGACGTTGCAATAAAAAAGTATTAATTATCAAATAAATATTTACAATAGGCTAAAGGCATATATTAAATTAAAATAGGAGAAAATCCAATAGAAACAAATGGTACCATTTATTATAGCCCCATGCAGGGTCCAATGTGTTCTTACAACCATTGAATAACTAAGTAAATAATAATAATAATAACAATACTAATAATAATAGGCCTAATAATAATAATAATAATAATAATAATAATAATAAATTATTATTTTATACAGAGTAGGCTATTATTTAGGCCTACAATAGCTCTGAAACAATCATGCAAACCAGGTGCTGCTCGGAAATGGCTATCTTTGCTCAGCATCAGGTGCACAGCAGCAAGAAGCTTGGCAGTGAACTATGACCTTATTTTAATGACAAATGTCTATGAATACTGCTGATTTACGTTTTTATTTAATTTATACATACGCAATGAATGTAAGCCTGCTAACTGTGTGTGGTTCAAATGATAGAATATGTAAACTTTGTTTATATATATAATTAAATAATAATAATTAAAAGCCTGCGTGTAAGGCTTTTATTTTGAGGGTGACGTCACGAGCGCAGATTTGGTTAACCAATTGGAGGAAAGTGGGCGTTTCAGCACCGCCTACATGTGTAAAATGAATTTTAAAGTCGTTTATCCGTTTTCCTACCCTAAACCAAAAAACGAAAATCCAGCCAAAATCTCGTTTTTTCGTTTTCTCGTGAGCAAAAGAAAAACGGAAAAACGGCCGTTTTCTCCATTTCCTTTATTCCGTTTGAAAATGGAAAACAAATGAACAAAATGTACACGGACCAGTCTCGACTGGTAGTCAAGTCACAACTGACAAACCAAACCCATTAAACAGGCGATTCAGAGGCTCGTGTGAGCTTCGACTGTGCTCATATCAGGACGAACATCCGGAGGTAACGAGAGGAACCATCATGTTGTGAGTTTCACGATTTTTAATCGAGTAAACGATTGAATTTGCTACCGTTTAGCGAAATTGAACAAAGGGAAACGCGGATGTTTTTCGGCTATTATGCTAGCGGCATGTTCTGCGGTCACATTACGACTGTGTATTTTGACATCCGCATGATTTACATGTAAACATTACAGGTTAATTTAATACATCTATGCTGGAGAGTGAGTTTAAAGCATTTGGGTTTGATAAATATTCAGCATTTTAACGTGGATTCCTCCTTAGCGGATAGTCATATGACTAACGTCAACGTTTGTTAGCCGCTGTTAGCTTGAGCTGCTTTCAGCTCATTTTAGCCTGTCAGGTATGATTTAAGACATTAAAACTGGGTAAATATCGCTATTAAGTAACATAAGTATAATCTTGGTTTATGTTTTGATGATTTCGTCAGACAGATTGTTTTGTTGCTTGGTGGAGGTTTTAAAATAGCATTAGCTAATATTACAAGAAGCTAACCTTAATAATCACGTTATTTATTAGTTTTAAACTTAAAATAAGATGATTTCCATTCATTTCCCCCATGAATGTAGTCATGATGAGGTTCATCCTTTAATAATTGTGTAAAAACGTCAAATAAGATGTTGAATATGCAAGGTGGAAATGAACAAAGTTACCAAAGTGTTTTTGGTTTGACATTTGTACCATTGTATCTTGATTTCCTTCTCTCTAATATGCGTCATTTCTTATATTTTTACAGCTTGTTGTTCTTGTTTTGATAAGATCAAGCGAAGAGGAGTCGCATCTTTTTGCTCACAACTTTACATAAATGCCCTAATATCCTTGTCAAATCTAATGCATTTATTTCCAATCATTTGATCTTTTTCAGGAGTGCATCCACAGGAAAGACCATGC